AGTTTTCCTAAAAAAACGAATGCAAACAGATATTCGTGGATGGAAGTGCCGGTTCACCTACACTAGGAAGATTTGCTGCTGAAAAACCTTCTGCGTGAACACCTACCGACGATGTCTGTTTATCGAGTCAGAATACATAATCAGACAGTCGTCGGAAGAGGTACCTTTCCGCTCCTTACTGCACGAGTCAAATATGAGCAATCCTACTGGATCGATCGTTTAAATTGTAATATTTTTAATATTCATTGCAAGATATTGCTTTGCATACGCTCACTACTCTACCAACGACAATGGCACAACCAATATCCTACCAGCGTGCTATGCCAGCCGTATTTTCAGATTAAATGCTGCTGTTGGCCTTTGCAATGGCGATGTCTGGCAAAGAACATGCTGAAGGAAATGCCGGAAATAATTTAATGTTATGTTTGACCGTGACCAAACGGTCATAAAATCCTCAGCCCATGATTTATTAAATTTCGATGCGACACTTTTAGCAACTTTGCGTTATTATTGCATTTAAATATTATCATTTCGACTTAAAACATTCGGGGGACAGCTGCAGTGGTCACTATTGACCACTGCAGTTCTCGATGTTGGCATGAATGACAGTGGGCCTTGGCATATTAGGCAACAACTGGCACGCCATCAGATTACTACCTTTTCCCTTCCAGTTGGTTGCAGCTGATGGCCGTGATGTTTAATCAGATAAGACCACACGCTCACTCATTGACTGGTCCTGACTGATCAGTCGATCATTGGCCAGACCGCTTACAAGTCATAAGCAAACTAACGTCAGCACCCACTTTTCGTATATGATATCATCGAGAAACGTCATCAACCACTGATATTTAGGGATTATGAGTTTTTAGTATGAACTACCTCCAAACCCCAGCGTCTGCCTACCATCGCTCCCTTGCTTGACGACTCGAGCCTACCCTTGACAAAGTCGGCTGATTGACATGTGTCACGACATACCCACCTGCCCTTTGTCAAGCTGTCTGGATTTCTACGTAAGGTTCTAATCGAGATACATTGCTAGTCCCACCTCACCTGCCTTATACGGAGTCCAACCTAAAGAGGGTGAAGGATGTTACCGACTGAGCTTCCCAGTGTAGTAGTCACCTTCACGATAAATACAGCAGAGCTTAAGGTCAATATTCTCATCAAAGAAGGTGTAGGTCCGGTGATAAGTCTTGGTCTGGGAAAACCTGGACAAAATATTGGATTTCTTATCAGCACAGCTGTTTGTGGAAGAATGCTAAATCCCATTTTATCAATTATCTAGTGCTGCTCGGAAACTCGATTTAAAAACAAACAGAAGGAGTTGCTGTGGGTAGCCAAAGTTCGACATCACCAGCTATAGCGGTGTATTAAATCACATTTTTCAGCCAAAGGTGACATAAAACCAATGTTGCACACGCGATGCATCGATGACATGACATCAGGACATATGGAAGGGCCTTATCTTTAGACTTAACAGGTAAGTCAAGTCAATGACAATTATAGTCGATAACAAGTCAAGTAAGAAAGTCAAGTAGCGTAAATCGATAACAGATCGTCAGTTACTTCTTGGACAACTTTTATCCAACTTTGTGAGACAGTTGGGTGAAATCTTGGGGAAAAGATGCTTGTCGTGAGTTTAGAGGTGGTAGGTTGAGCTATTTTCCCTGTTCAGCCTTCTCAATTTCTTTTCTCAAAACCACCCCGCTGGCTGCGCATCAGTGCAGGGCATGGTTCACTTCATGCCACGATACCGCGTGCATGTGCTCTCTGACCCTCATCCTGCCGCGAGACACTTCCTCGGTAATGACAAACAGCATCCGCAATTGTTGTACTTCATTTGGTCGTCGGACCTAGCCACGCATTGCAGTTCTAATGACTGCGTACGCAAAACACCAATGTGACGAAAGTGGTGTGCGACCAGACACAATTCAAAGAAATCGATAAGAAAAGTCATGCATGCAAAGAAATACGGTACAAAGACCTAGCAAGGCGTACAAGAAAATGTGATGCGACGAAGTGTGTACAAATACATGCGGTACATAGATATGTGATACACGGAATGTGTAGGTGGGGTTTCGCAGATCTGAAGATTTGCTGGAACGAGGCCTATTGCATAAAACTATTTTCACACGGCAATTCGCGTAGGAGGATATTCGATACCAAACTTTGCACAAATATACACACACCAGAGTTTGCGCTCAAAGTACGTACATTTTTTTAAAAAAAAAATACACAAAACCCCACCAATTTTGCTTTCGAAATAATACGTCACGCATAAATACAATGCGAAGTTATATTCGTTCTTGAAACAAGCTGCTGCATTAATGACAGAGCTCAGGACATTTAAAGACATTTTCTGTTAAAACTGGACAGAAAATCAACTTAGACGGCAGAATAATGCTGACTTTGGAAAACATTGCCCTGGAGGCCGTACCAATTCCTCGGTCCCAAGTATTCCGATTGCTCCGCACTACACTGAGCTGGACTCGGTTTTAATAGCGGAGTATCTACATCAATGCACATTTGCTTGGTACTGAGCGCCGTGCCTACCGTGGTGCCCCGTGCCGCGTGGCGGCTAGATGGAAACGCCGATTTGGGCACAGGATTTGCTCACCGTCTGCATGTCTCCTGTATATCTCCTTACCTTGACATTATTAAATGTGCACATCACAAATGTGAGCCAATATTGCTGTGGGCTCAGAAGACGATTAAAGTTCGTCGAGGAGTGCCCAGAACACGTTGGTGAAGCATGACACGCTGAAAAAAATTAAGCAGCATTGAAATGGTAAGAATGTATGACTACCTATTCAATAAAATTTGACATGGAAACCTAGAATGTCATTGCCACTACACCTGTCCCATGTTCTTCATGCTAAGAGGCTCTGGACCCAGAGGCATGGGCCAGGCAAGGATGAATGCATCTCGATACTACAAAATTCTGATAAATTTGAGGCTCTGTCAAAGAACATGTGGCGCCGGAGGCTTGCAGTCGTTCTCTGTTAAGGAATGCCAGCAAGTTAGAATAAACTGAGCCCTTCATTATGATATGAAAAGTTAGTGGCAGAGGTAGGGTTTATATAGTTAGTGTATCGTGCATGACGATTACAAAGGAGCACGTAAGTTATTATGTTAAGTTATTATTTATTAAGTTAAGTTCTATATTAAGTTAATGCGTCATGTTAACGAGAAACCAAAAAGGCAGCCGAGTGGTAATAAATGGTTTTGTCTCAAACCCACGAACCCACAAAGGGTGATTTTGACGCAAAAAAAATGAAGGCAAGCATGGAACGAACCCCCATTACTGAGACACCACAAGCTACCATACAGAATCTGTTTAGCAGCTGTTGTAGCTAGGCAAACGCTCAGTTACAGTTGTGTAGTGTGTTCTGAGACATAACAAGTGCACATTAATTTTTGAGAAGACAGGAATTGTCAGTCGGTCCCAGTCAGGGTGTTTTTAGCGATGCCCGCGTGCCTGTAGTAAGAAAGCCCAGTAATCCCCTCGCTGGAGATTCACCATGTCGGAGGAGACCGGGTGACTTCGTGTTTGCTACCAATAGACTGAAAGTCAGCTGCAACAATGGTATCGTGTGCCAGCTAGACTATCTTCTTTACAATACCTTAGCTAACCTGGTGGTCGCGACACAAGCAGGCATGCCTACAAGCACGAAACTATCGACGCCTAACGCTTGCCCATGTCACAGTTGGGGCAACTTCACCCGTCGCCCTGATGGAGCACAACTAAAGTTAGCGAGAAGGATGTCACCGTCAGATCTTCCAAACGCCTCCAGGTTTACCTCAAACACAGCGTGAACCACACCAGCCGTGGCTTGAACGAAATGGCGCTTTTCCCAAACTCCGCCAACAAAAATGTGATGAGCATGCCTTGCCCCAATCAGCGAAGCACCACCGCCGAATCTGTAGCATCTTGATGACGGTGCAACAGCGCGACGCTCTGTTGCAATGCCTCGTCGCATGGCATGGAGATGCGGCGGCGGAGCAAGAATCCTGTCTGGCGCGGAACGCCATACATTTGTTGTCTTCGACCATCGAATGCTCAGAGCACTAACGCTTCGCATGACACAAGCGGCAAGGCGATATGTTCCCGTAGAGTGTCTGCCAGGATTCGAAGCAGGGGTCTCACATGCTCCAGTGTCTTGTTCAAGAAGTTAAAGCTCTGAGGGAAAAGTTAGTGAAGAAGGAGGGCGTTTCAGTATCTTGTTCAAGAAATCGAAGTTCTGACGGAGAAGTTAACCAAAGAGGGTTGCCGCATGATGCGCAGTGTTAACTTGCTGTTTCTTACGACATACGCGTAGAGACTGTACGTGAGACGGAAATATGTTGATTGAAATGCTTAGCACTCTGTATTTTGATAATATTGCGCATCTTTTACACATGCCTTTAACTTCCGTGACCCATTCTGGCCGGTTCTTTCGACGATGCTTGAGCAAACATGTTGTTTTGGTCACTTCAGGTTTAGGTCGATTTAGGACGAAGGTCAGGGCTGTCGCTAGGTGGAGTTTGTTTGGGGGACGGGGTTTTTACCTTAAAAGCCGCTTTTAATCCCCCTGCGCCCCCCCCCCCCCGCTTCTCCGGGTGTTTGTGGTGAGGCCCCTATGGTGATGGTTTGGTCTCCCGAATCAACTCTTCCACCCTCTCTCTCTCTCTCTCTCTCTCTCTTCTCTCTCTCTCTCTCTCTCTCTCTCTCTCTCTCTCTCTCTCTCTCTCTCTCTCTCGTCTCTCTCTTCTCTCTCTTTCCTGAGCGCTGGCTTGAAATTCCCGCCTTCGCAGTTTTGGCGAAGCCCCACACACGCTGAGCGGGCGTCGTGCGCTCCTCTCAAACCCTACGCGCGTGCGGCGCGTCCCCCTCAGGCCCCGCGCGTGCGCGGTGCGTTCGCCGCGGACGATGAGTGGGTGTCGAGTGGCCTGCGGAGGGCGGGGGCGGGGGCGGCGCGGCCGCTGCCTGCGCGCGGGCCGCCGTTAAAAGCACGGCAACACCGGCGGCGCCCAGTCCGCCCGTATCGCGCCGTGCTGGCAGCAGACAGCCGACCCGCGCGGCCACCTCTGCGACTCGCCAGACCCCCGTACAGGTGAGGCTACGGGCACCGCGCGCGCCCGGACGCCGGTCAGCAGACGCGCCGAACAACAGACGCAGGGGCTGGAACCCAGCAACGGCGTTGAATAGTAAATTGGAGTGCCGAAGGGCAGCGTGGGCCGGCCGTGATCAGTGGCCTCTGAGAGACCGTGCAGTCTGGGTGTCTGCCCCACAGATGGTGTGTTGTGAGAGTCAGGGTTAAGTGGCAGTTTAAATATTTAGTTTATGGTGCTTATGTACTTTTCTGAATATATTTTAACATGTTTTTTAAGGTTGCCAATAAAATATGTAATTTTTGGTGTTCATGTGCTGTACTTAACATGTCTTCAATAGGAAATAAATATTGTTTTGTCATATTTACGATTACTTGGCAGAGAATATGCAGGTTTATATAAAAATGCCTAGCCAGGAATGGTTAAACTGATAACGAGCATGTGGTAGAAGGGACAGTTCTAAAACCACATCTCCCCGATATGCTTGTCTTGAATTCTGAGGACATCCTAAATAGATCCTGTCGCTTGGATTCTGTACCCACCACCCAGGTATGGTGGCTTTCCAGTCCAGCGGGCCAGGTACCCATAGGCTGTTTTGCTTAACATATTGCAGAGTGATATCGTTTGTGTCATGGCATGTTATTACGCTGCGAATATATGGAGATAAATACATATGCTCTAACCCATTGTCAGTGCAGAAAGTCCTTGATCTTATCCCTCAGTCACAAATAAGAAACCTTAGAAATAGCTATGTCTAGTATCTTCCAATGCTGTCTGATTACCGGTACGAAAATACACATGTTTATACGTTTGTCAGCTGGTTAGGTGTGGTTTCGACTGGAGCAGCGAAAGCCGAAGTTAGCATCTGTGCGATGAGGCACATCTGTTTATATGTACAAATTAGCTAAGTTGTATTGTTCATGCAAACAAAACCGTTATGACAATTTACCTGCCCAATGCGCGTGGCAAAATCAGGTGAGTGCCTCTCCAAGCTGTCACCATGGATGTCGAGAAGTGCGAGTCATGACAGTCGCGCTGTTAATCGCCTTCGGGATCAGACATCATATAACCGATCAAATACATGATGTCATAAGGTTTTAGTTAAAGGCCATTGATGAGAAAATGCGATGAAAACAATATGCAATGAGTGGATATTGTTGGTGGACGTTGTAGGGCCTACGCGGCGATACTTGAAGCCGCTAATGTGGCAGCATTCATCACCATGAGGACCGCTACAATCGTACGCTATGGTCTACTCAAAGAGGCTTGGCCACCCTTGAAGTTTATTCCAAACAGCTTCTGCGATGCTTGGGTGCGGTCGCTCAGTACTTTTACTTTGTCATCCAAAACATAAGATGAGCCAGTGATTTGTATTAGATCTTGAGCATGAGGAGGGCTGGTGACAGTCGCCACAGCACTCGTTTGCTTCCAGTGCAGCGTCCACCAAGTGCGCTGGTTGGTACCGCACCACAGAACAGATGCAAGAGACGCACTGGCTAGTGCACCGTAATGCGTTAAGGGTGGGCTTGGACGTCCCAGATGGGGTGGGTGTTACAGCACATCGAGTCCGGCTTGACTCGGGAGATCTTTCTTATAAAAAAGCAGTCACGCAATCTGTCGCGAAGGAACTTTGGTCACAAAGTTCACAAAACAATCGTTCTAACCGTGCGTGGACCATAAACGTCATACCACATTGACCGCATCGGCATACCACATGGACCACGTCGGCTTGAGCATAGAATGCATTTTGATAGATATGAGTAAGAACACCGATGGCACAATTATGCAAAAATCGCTAGTTCAAATAGAGGTCTGAGGATTTGACTAATCTACAAAAGTTATACTTAGTCTATGTGCCGTTGGATTTACACATAACACACGGCACCCTACCTTCCACAAATTTCACTGAATTCTCGCCTTATTGTATCAACCTTCTCTTACTCTGTTCTGTGGGCTTATTACCATAGTTTGACTTTACATGTACTATTGCATTCCCTTGTGATGGCTTAAGTGCGAGCTATAAATGAAGCCGATTGCTCCACAGTATAACACAGAAAACACCCATGATTTTTATTCAGGTAAATCGTGAACTGGTATTGTTGTGTCGGACCACTTCACTCCCTGCGGGTGCTCTTATCTGAGATCCTTTGACTCGTATGGGGAACTTTTGATTAAACAATTTCATAGCACATGTTTGTTATCCCTGCAACGCGAACAATATTACTTCGCACGGCATTTGCTCACTTTCTGTTTGTTCTAAGATTCAGTGGCCTCATAACCAGAGTCTGAGCCCACAAAGTGAGCCCCTCGACGTGTATTAGCCAATGACTCCCGAGATTCATAAACTGAGATCCTTGGGGTACATAAACATAGTGTTCCCGAGACCCATAAACCTGTGAGCAAAACAAATGTCTGGCGGCGTAGCCTGTACTACATTCCCTCAGAGGCGGACCACGAGTCACTCCACACTGCAGACGAAGTTGGCTGTGGAAGCTGGTGAGGCATTTCGAGCCGATACCGAAGGCACCCCGGCGTCAGGGCCACATCGGGCGCGTGACATCGTGGGGCAGTGCCAGGAAGGTGCGCTTACGTGGCGCATTACGCGCTCGTTAGGCAAGACCGCTTATGATGCTCGACTTGGAGCCTTGCTAGACGTTAAAGAGCTTGCGTAGCTTAGCATGAAGTGATTGCTGTGATATAGACGATCTGTAATGCTGAGACGTGTTGAGGAATCTGTCAGACCCCACAGCAATGTTCGTGTATGAACACGATCAACGTGCACAACTTTGACAACAGATGGAAAAATAATATGTCAAGCTTTACATTAATTTGCCGTTCATTCTAGCAGCGACTCGTTGACATTTTCTGGTATCCGAGCCCAAGTCCTCGCTAATCGCATGTCTTTTCGCCGTAAATATGGTTTCGAGCAACAGGCCGTGCTCAACGGCGCAACAGGCGACGGAATGTATAGGCGCTGCCAGGCTTAGGCCAGTGGAGCTGGCAGCTGCGTATGCAATATCCTCTTTAAAGACGCTGCATTGGTGATTGCTGGGAGAACACCAGGCTACCGCGCTGCTGTCCAGCTCGTTTTGACCCGACAGCAGTTGCCTGACGTGAACGCAACGCCGCTGAGCGGCACTGCTGGCCGGTAAGCCCTTGGCACGGCCCATGGCTCTGGGTCTGGCGCCTTTCTGCGGAAAAGCTGCGATCTTGCCCCGCTGTGCTGGTGTCGGCATCCGCGGGACTTGGAGATGCACACGCAATCTCGCCAGGTCACGCGAAAGTCCGTAATCCCGCCAGGTCGCACAAAATCTGATAATACCGTCTGTCCCACAAAAAAGGAGAAGACGCCCAGGCGGGCGGCGGTGGCGTATGCTAAGGGGTTTTTTACCGTCTACTGGTTTATCTTATGAGTAGTGCCAAGAATGATGTTTCTGAAGCATGCAAAGCGTATCATATCCCCAGCTCCAGAGTTTTGTTCTCAACCAGGGACAATACCATTCTGGTACATTTTTACATTTTCACTAGCGTCGCGTTTGATTGTGCTTTTAGATGCATACAGGTTGATAGTCGATTGATTTAAGTTCACGTCGCAACATAACGCGACTAATGCGTACAAGCTGAGTGGCCTCAGGTAGTTTGCAGATCGGAAACCGGGCGCCAATCCGTACGATGTATTACTCGTCAGCGTTAGCGCGTTGTTCAGGTTGTTCACAAAATGAGACGCTGTGCTCAGGTTTGAGCCACCTTTTCCGGCCTGGCTGATGCCGGTGAGTTTGGATAGTGATCAGTGCGACCTCGACCCTCTCTGCCCCTGTCTCGCCCCCGCTGCGTCCCAAAACGCGGACAAAAACACCGGCCGGGGACCACACATGACCTCTGACCCGGTAACCGATGGCAGCACCAATTCCGGCCGCCGCGAACGCCGGGGAGGGGAGTCGCCTCCCGCAGCTCGCCGTGGCTAGCCCGCAGGACAAACATTTGTACAGCGAGGCGCCGGGGAATATTGCTAATCCCGCGCCACGTGCATACTCGCGCACCCCTGGCGGTACACAGGGGGCGCGGCGGTCAACGGCGCATCTGTAATCCGCCGACCACGACGCGCGCGCCCGCGTGGCGCGCCGCGCCGCTGAGTAAGCCCAGGCTAAGAGCGCCATGCTCTGCAAACAGGCGAGAACAAAGTTGATCTGCGTCATCGTCAACGCTAGCCAAATTTCCCGTCGAGTTGGTGTGGGGATGGGCGTTGCCAGTTTGTCCTGAGGTCGTAAAAGGGGAGAGTTGTGTTTTCCTGTGTGCTGGCTGTTTTATTGCGGCCGTGCAGATGCTGTCTTTCGGTTTAACCGTCCATGATTCGGACAGCCGATAGGTGAGCTCCGTGTTATTTGGCGTCCAAACGGGAGGTGCGGAGTTGTGGAGTTGTTTATAAGGGGATTGCTTGGGAGATATTGTTACTGCTCTTTGGTTCGAACATTTTACTTACCTAGTAATGTTGGGATGAGACGATAAGCTGCTGTGTCAGTGATACCATTAAAGGCTTTTTAACGGTTTTTTTTCTGACAGCATGCCGAGAATGTTAGGGAGCATTTTCAGACGCTGGCAGGCACACGCAGAGACACTGATATCCTTTAAGCATATAGGAATTACCCTGAAATAAGTTCCGCAAGTTGTTAAGTGTATTTGCGAGGAATATTATTCATTAAGATAAAACGGTAGTAATAGCCTTATTTCTCAGAGCAAAAACTAGGAGAAAGGAGATATAGATGCGGTGATATAACATGCCTACATCAAAACGAATAGCAGAAGTGAATTCAAAATATTGAGTCATAAAATTTTGAATTCACTTCTGCTATTTGTTTCGATAAGTCATGTTGCAGAAGTATCAACGCATGTGTATCTCCATTCTCCTGCTTTTTTCCAAGGGATAGGGGCCATTTCTGCTGCCTTATCTACATAAATAAATTTGTTCTACTTTTACAACTGTAATATCCATTCCTACGGCTCA